GGGGGGGGGAGGGGGGGAGAGGGGGTGGCGCTCGGTGTGGCGCTCGGGCAAGAGTCGGGCGCGTGCGGTGCCGGGAGTATGGACACGGGCAGCTGGGCGGTGGGAGTACGCCGTGCGATGTGCTCGGAACATCGCGCATCGGGTGCTACCGCGAACTGCGACGGCAACACTGCGACAGCAAGACGGCGGGACAGTGCCTTCTCGAGCGCTGGCTGGAGCACAGGGTGGCGGTGCGGCGTGCTCCATCTAGGGCGTGGCGCCGCTCGTGTAAATGTCAGGCAGCTTGTCGGCGACGACCTCAAGCTGCTTCTGGAGCTCGTACGGGGTCGGCCGCTCCCAGAGCTTCACCTGTTCACAGCCGCAGGTGTGAAGAGACGCTGCTCACAGCTGCAGGTGTGAAGGCGCTCCCCGGAGCCGCGCACCTGTTCTCCTCCGGGGGCGACTCGATGAGACGGGGTGGTGCGGCCTCGAGGTCGGCCGCAGGGCTGGGGAGGGGGCGCGGGCCGTCTTGACGAGGGCGTGGGCGAAGGAGCGGCCGAGGAGGTGTACCTTGCGGCGAAGGGGGGGGGGGGGGGGGACGTCACAAATCCACCTCTCGACCACCTCTCGGCCTCCTCTCGGCCACCTCTCGGCCTCCTCTCGGCCACCTCTCGGCCATCTCTCGGCCACCTCTCGGCTACCTCTCGAGGGGTCTAGGGAGCAGCGGCGCGTCCACCTCGATGTGCGGGTCTAGGGAGGAGCGAGGGGTCTAGAGAGGAGCGAGGGGTCTAGAGAGGTGCCTGCCCGGTGGAGAGGGTCTAGGAAGGCAGCTCGGAGGTGTCTCGGAGGTGTCTCGGAGGTGTCTCGGAAGGGTCTCGGAAGGGTCTCGGAGGTGTCTCGGAAGGGTCTCGGAAGGGTCTCGGAAGGGTCTCGGAAGGGTCTAGGAAGGGGTGAGGAGTCGTCTCGGACGTGTCCGCACCGCATCCATCTCGATGTGCGAGTCTCCGACGGAGACGAGGTTCGTCACGGCCTCGAGCTGGAGCTGGTCCTGGACCTGCGTCGTGGAGAGTGGGGAGGGGCGTCTGGCGGAGGTGAACCGGACGAGTGCCGGAGGTGAACCGGACGAGTGCCGGAGGGGTGCCGGAGGAGGCTGGACCTTGAGGAAGGCGTGCATCTTCCAAGCGTGCGAGTCGCCGGGGTACTGCGTCTCGAACCTGTGAGCAGAGAGCTGTGAAGAGAGAGAGAGAGAGAGAGCTGTGGAGAGAGCCGCGTGGCGGCTGTGTCTCGGACCCCGCGCGCGCAGAGATGATGACGACGGGGGCGAGGAGCGGCTGCAGGTTCGGGAAGCACATCGAGGACGAGTGCTGCACCCACCTGCCGGATGCGAGGAGGGCAGACCCTCTCTCGCGTGGCCGGGAGGGGCGTAGAGGGCGAGTGCTGCGCCCACCCCTCAGACGCGTTGGTGATGATGAAGACCTTGCCGTTGGCAGACGCCTGGGAGAGGCGCGTGAAGCAACAAGCAGAGCGGTGGAGGTGGAGACGGGGTGCGGGGCTTGGGGGGGGGGGGGGGGGTCTCACCGTCTGAGCCTCGCGCGGCCTCGTGAGCTGGGGGAGGAGCTTCTCCGACTCGCGCAGCTTGGCGATGTACCCCTTTCGTATGTCGCTCGACGACCGCGCTTTGACCATTCTCTGCCGCACCAGCACGACCTCGCCTCCCTCCCTCTCCGCCTCACTCTCTCTACTCGACGCCACGACGGGTAAACTCACCGCGTCGGGCGCCGCGGCACTCGACGCGGTGTCGAAGGGCATGTCCGCGCGCCGCCCAGGCTGCGGCGAACCTACCGGCGTCCCTGTGGGCGAGCCCGCCAGCCCGCCGCCGCCATCCGCCACGCCAACCTTGTAGAGGAACTTGATGCGCCAAGACCCGCTCGCGCCGCCGCCGCCGCCGCCGCCACCGCCGCTGCCGCCGCCGCCGCCGCCGCCGCCGCTACCGCTGACAGTGCCGTCGAGGCCGCTCCCGCATCCGGTGGAACTGCTCGACGCCGCAGCCGCGCCCGGATAGCCAGCCGACGTTTTGGGAGGAGGAATGGGGGGGGGAGGAGAGCTGGGCTTGCCCGCCGCGCCACCGCCCGCCAGCGGCGCGCCCCAGCTTCTCGCTAGAGCCGCCGCCGCGTCGCCGTTCGAGCTGCAAATCGCAGAAGACGACATACACACCCGGCGGCCAAAAGAATTCGCGCGACCCGGCCCTGTCCTCCTCCCCTGCCCAGCTCCCGTTCCCCTGTGCCCCTGATCGTCCTACAAGATCCTGCTTGTGCAGGTGGGGACCCTGTCCTTCTCCCACCCCTCGTTTGGCGTGTCCGTTGTATTTATTTATTTATATCCTCCCCTATAGCGCGTGTTTTCTGCCCTCCGCGGGCCGATGCGCCCTCCCCCCTCGCTTTTGCAAAATCCTGCAAAGGTGGGGACGTTCTGTCCTCGACCCAGCCCTAGCTTGCAAGCGCTCGTTGAACTCATCGCAGGTGCGGCAGCTCGAGTACTACTTCTCACCCGCCAACTTCGGCAGCCTCCCTCTCTCCGCTCCTGCCACGGGCAGCACAGCGGTCGGGCGGCGTGTTCACAGTTTGTGCTGTGAACAGGCCGCGACGCCTTCCTGCAGCAGCAGATGGACGGAGACGGCTACGTACCGCTCTCCCTCCTGAACGGCGAGATTAGACGAGATTGTCCGAGATTGGCTGAGATTGGCCGAGACGGCTACGCCCCCCCTCTCCCTCCCTTAACGGCGAGATTAGACGAGATTGTCCGAGATTGGCTGAGATTGGCTGAGGTTAGCCGAGATGGCTGCGCCCCCCCTCTCCCTCCCTTAACGAGGCGGTGAAGCCGTTATGTGCCGACTGTGCCTCTGTTCACACGCCTGGCTGTGGACAGGCTTCAACCGCATGCGCCGGCTCGAGATGCCGATCTCGGAAGTGGCGACCGCCGTCGTGTCGCTCTCGTGAGCTGCCGAGCGAGGTGGAGCGAGATGGAGCGAGATGGGGCGAGATTTGGGGCGAGATGGGGCGAGATTTTGGGGGAGGAGACACGGCGTGGCAGGGCGAGATACGGCCGAGGTGCGGCGAGGTGGAGGGAGATACGGCGAGATGTGGTCAGGTGGACCGAGATTTGGAGGTAAGGCGGCATGGCGAGAAGGGCGTGGGCTTGCCGCGCCTCTTCACAGGCTGCCGCTGTGAACAGGTCGGCGCTCGAGGTGGACGAGGCGCGGGAGAGGGTGCGGGCGGCGGCGCGGTGAGCAAGAGGACTCTGGGGGGAGGCGGGGGCCCCCGGAGGCACCGTGCGCCGCGCAGCAGTGCGGAAACGGGGCTCCGGCTCTACTAGTCTCTACTAGCACCAACTTCCCGATTAAGTACGGTTAAGTAGAGGGCAGATTTGGAGAGATCTCGAGGAGTACATACAGATAGACCCTCCAATCATGAGAAACCTCCGACCTGATCGGTCGTACTGGCCGCCGACAGATCACTCCAGACAGCAGACAGGCCGACGTCTGCACGCGGCCGGCCGGGCGAGAGGCTTGACACGATCCGACCCTGCGACCCTGACGCTGCTGCTCTAGCTATCAGACATGCACTGCTGACTGCTGCCACAATGTGCGACCTGTGCTGGCCCACTTGGCGGCCTTCCCGGTCAGTGGTGAGGCGCAGTTCAGAGCTGTCGATGGCGCGATGCCGCACTGGTCCCACATTGGTGACACGAGACCACCAAGTTTGCCGGTCCAAGAGAGAGGCACCGGCGCTCTCCTGAGAAAGTGCATGGTCCCTCTTGACTGCCCATGCGCGCGAGGCTGTGTAGGCATAGCCTCGAGAGTGCCAGCAGCCAGTCGCCGAGGCAGTTTGTGACGCGCATTGCGTCAGAAGCGTGCACGCGCTGGAAGGACACCTTCCTACTGGCCGTACGATCAGGGTCACTGAATGGTGGATACTAAGGCCGCGAGCTATGCAGGTGGTCAATTGTGCAGCATGGCACGGTCAGCAGCGCCGACAGGCTGTCGCAAGGCGTGATAGCATGGCCGCAAGTATATTGCAAGTCAGCGAATTCCCATGAAAACAAGTAAAAAATCGCAAAAAGGAAAAAAAAGTCCCAAAAAAATCGGCGCCTGCGGCGGGCCATGGGACCCCATCTCCCCCCCGCATGGATGCCCTCTAGGGCCCCCGCCTCCCCCCAGAGCAAGGGGAGGAAGGGGGGGGGGGGGGGTCGCGGCACAGGCTGTCGCGGCATGGCAGCGCGACGCCGCACGATTGCTTTGTACGTTGCGCGCCGGCCTCTCCGCTCGCTCGCTGGTAACTCAGCTACAATCCTAGCTCGAATTTGGCGGGGAGAGGGGTGGAGGGCGGTGGATGGGTGGACGGGCCGGTGAGGCAAACCACGAGCGGCCGCCTCGCCCTCCCCCAGAGATTGGCGCGGGCCGGTCGGTGGTTGAGATGACCTTCCAGGGTGGGCTCGCGAGCCGGTGTCCAACCCAAACCGCGACCTGCTGGTTAAGGCTTAAGCTGAACCTGGCGGGCTTGTGAAGTGAGCACATGAACATGAGATGTGATCCGTGTGATGACTCCTGACAACCGCCTCCGCCAGCTCTGGTGTCACAGTTCCTCCGCTCTGAGAGGACTTTTGCGGGTCAGCTCGACAGGTGGAGCTGTGTCGCCGCGCGCGGCGGCCTGCCTCCGGAGGCGTGCCTCTGAGCTGGACATTTTGGGTCACCGCGTAACGCCCGTGTGCTCGTCGCTGGGCAAGAAAAGGGTTCGCGCTTCGATTTATTTTTCCACACCGTGGTGTACCTGTGTCCTGTGTTGCAGCTGTGTTGGTGCCAGTGCGCGCCAGTCCCGTGGCCGTGCCCAGTGTCGTGCGAGGGCGGGTTGTAAAATTCTTTTTCCACACCCCTTGTCGGCGCGCGGTGAAGCTGCTGAGCGCGCTGGACCTG